CGTGTCGTATGACCTACAGACAGTAATCCACCTCCACAAGGCGGCCACGAAAGGACGAGATGGTGGGGCGCTCTGGCGGTACTTTACGGTAGTAACACTTACTCCCAAAGAGTCCAAGCTGTAATCTAACTAGTGACGGTAGTTTGATTCAACGACAAACTCCAGCACAGTCGACTTCCGCACCGCTCACGACTCAAGACAAGATCATGAAGATGCTACAATATGCACTGGAACTGAAAGGAAATCTTATGCCAAACATCCACGGAGGAATCTCCTTCTGACCTTGCTCGACCATTCTTTCAATTGACAACTGATAACCATCAGAAGATGTTCATGTACTGCATGATGTAGGAGATCTCCAAATAGGTTCGTTGTTCTGGAAATGCGTAGGGGTACCTGGCATAAGTAGGATATGACCCTCGTAGTCGGGTTATACCGTACCCTCATATAAATCCCTCCTGCTATCGCAGTCGGGATTTATATTCAGCCGGTATAACCCTCTGACTCGGGTTATATCCTCTACCTATGGCTATGCTGTGATCTGGTACTATGGTTGTGCAAGTCACCCAGACATGGGTTTATCTGGCACTGAGTCTCCGACTCTGTGTGGCATGCGGTGTGTTGCCAGGTGAAAACGGGTACCGGGTTGGTCTTGTACTGCATGCATGCAGCCAGTGCAAGAGCAGCGATCATGACTCCATGGCATGAGTCAAGGCACAAGTCAGTGGTCCTTTCACCGGGCCTCAGCAGTTGCTAGTGCCAGTCTAGTCGTGGATCGACTCAGGTTGCGATTGCACTGACGATCGAGTCTGTGCGTGATTTCACAAGCATCATCAAAGCCACGTGCCTCCTCATATCTACCCAGATCTAGACTTTAGTTGCAGATAAAAGGCCTGGTATGGAACCAGTGCCAGTGCAAGTGGTGTGCAGCAGAGAGTATTGACAAGTCCCTGGTACATGGTGAGTGGTGTGCAGCCAAATCCTGCAGAGGTCCCTCCTACAGTGCGTTTTTTTAAAACAGACATTTGTCGATTTTGATTTTTTAGTTTGTTCTCATTCCAAATTTGAAATTTTTTCTTCACAGCTGCTTTTGTGTGGGTCTTGGATCGAAGAAAATTAAGTTTGGAAATCGGAATAATAATAATTGTCAAAGTTAGATATTCGGACGGGTTTTGGCTGAAAATCCGGTTTTAAATGGTTTTCAGTGGATTTTGATTTTAAAACGAAAATTTTAGCCAGGAAAGCTCATCACGTGCATGGTGTCCGCCAGAGTTCGAATCCAGTACAGTTCATCTTGATTCTTTTTTTCTCTTCTTTTTCGGTACAACGCATGCATGTACATGTACATGACTGTGCAGTTGTGCACTGCTGTCTGCAGTTCTCCTAACCAGTTACCTTTGTAGGAAACCAGTGAGCCGTGGCTTTTCACGACTTACTGTGGCAAACTGTACTGAATAATTCAAATGCTGTATTGCAATTAGCTCAATGAATCAAAACATTCCAGCATGCATGTAGGAAACTTCCCTCGATCCCTGAAAGAATGCAGTGAAAATTCAAACACCACAACAAATCACAAGGGCAATTCACACAGCACCCATAAAGAGACTAAAAGGAAGCAATACATGAGCGGTTTTACAAACACACAAACACACACACACACACACACACACACACACACACACACACACACACACACACACACACACACACACAATGCAAATAGGTCACAGTTGTGTCTGGTTCAACATCTGCGAATAGTAGAAGACTAGCGAGCGTCGAAACGGCCCCAATAATTCCGTGTTTTGTGTTGCACTTGTGACGACAGTATTACACAGTGAACAGATGTGCTAGGACAGCCGACAACGTATATCATCGTTGGCGTCGGCCTCGTCGGTCTCCAGTCACGAACACATCGGCGCAGTTTTTCACGAATCCGTCCCGTCCACCAGTATATGCAGAACAATAAAGCGCTTGCCTTTACCTGATGGAGCTTCATTTGGTTGCTTGCCTATACACTCCTGTCACCATTGTCGGACCACCTCCTAGTAACTGTGTGACGCGCATTGACCCACGTGTCATCCAGGTATGTCTCACAGGTAGGGATGCCGCCATGACACAATCCCGTGCCGTTCCATCATCATGTGTGTGATACCTCTGGTCTTGCCACACTGGAATCCCATGGAACGCAACATTTTCCAAGAGCTAGTTTTGCTCATGTCTGGAAAATCGTCGATGCTTTCTATGCAGCGAGCAGGAACTTTGTCCAGTGTTGGGTGCTCCTTCGCAGCATAGAATCCGTAAATTACTTCTTATACAGTCCAAAGCAAATCCGTCAGGGTTGAGTGGTTTTGTGGCACGAGTCTCACATTAGGGATTGTCACTCTCGTTTCCTTCATCACTGGAGACAGACAAGGCCAACGCAGCACGCTGATTTTCGCCGTCAGCATCCCTGGTACATCTGTTCATGGTGGAAATGCTGACGCCACACGCAACAGCAGCATGACGAATGGAATACTTGGGACCAATTCGATGCCCAGCCATTGTTCTCCTCGTCTTCGCAAAAATTGTAAAACAGACACCACCATGGCCCGTTCACGCTTTGTTATATGTGGCATGTCGAGAGAACAAGTTGCCACGAACGAAAAGACACTCGAGAAAAAGCAAAATAGGGCCACAGAGCAGTCAGCAACAAAATGATTCCTCCAGCCACGAGGAGCTAGCTCGAAGGACACTCTGAACAAAATGGCGAAATGCCACGAGTCACACCTGGTTTTCGAATTTCGCGCGCAGATTTTCGTGACGCAGCTCGCATGACATTTTCTCAAAAGTGGCCTTGAGTACGTTCTCAAGGATTTCAGAGTATACTAAAAAAACGCACTGTACAACAGTGCGTTTTTTTATAACAGACCATTGTCGATTTTGATTTTTTAGTTTGTTCTCATTCCAAATTTGAAATTTTTTCTTCACAGCTGCGTTTGTGTGGGTCTTGGATCGAAGAAAATTAAGTTTGGGAGTCGGAATAATAATAATTGTCAAAGTTAGATATTCGGCCGGGTTTCGGCTGGAAATCCGGTTTTAAATGGTTTTCAGTGGATTTTGATTTTTTAAACGGAAGTTTTAGCCAGGAAAGCTCATCACTTGCATGGTGCCCGGCATGAGTTCGAATCCAGTACAGTTCATCTTGATTCTTTTTTTTCTTTTCTTTTTCGGTATACTGTAGTACAGCGCATGCATGTACATGTACATGTACATGCACATGGCTGTGCAGTTGTGCACTGCTGTCTGCAGTTCTCCTTACCTTTGTAGGAAACCAGTGAGTCGTGGCTTTTCACGACTTATTGTGGCAAACTGTACTGAATAATTCAAATCCTGTATTGCAATTAGCTCAATAAATCAAAACATTCCAGCATGCATGTAGGAAACTTCCCTCGATCCCTGAAAGAATGCAGTGAAAATTCAAACACCACAACAAATCACAAAGGCAATTCACACAGCTCCCATAAAGAGACTAACAAAAAGGAAGCATGAGCAGTTTTACAAACACACAAACACACACAATGCAAATAGGTCACAGTTGTGTCTGGTTCAACATCTGCGTATAGTAGAAGACCAGCGAGGAACGAAACGGCCCCAATAATTCCGTGTTTTGTGTTGCACTTGTGACGACAGTATTACACAGTGAACAGATGTGCTCGGACAGCCGACGACGTATATCATCGTTGGCGCCGGCCTCCAGTCACGAACACATCGGCGCAGTTTTTCACGAATCTGTCCCGTCCACCAGTATGCAGAACAATAACGCGCTTGCCTTTACCTGATGGTGCTTCATTTGGTTGCTTGCCTATACACTCCTGTCACCATTGTCGTACCACCTCCTAGTACCTGTGTGACGCGCATTGACCCACGTCTCATCCAGATATGTCTCACAGGTAGCGATGCCGCCATGACACAATCCTGTGCTGTTCCATCATTATTTGTGTGATACCTCTGGTCTTGCCACACTGGAATCCCATGGAACGCAACATTTCCAAGAGCTAGTTTTGCTCATGTCTGGAAAATCGTCGATGGTTTCTCTGCAGCGAGCAGGAACTTTGTCCAGTGTTGGGTCCTCCTTCGCAGCATCGAATCCGTAAATTATTTCTTATACAGTCCAAAGCAAATCCGTCAGGGTTGAGTGGTTTCATGGCACGAGTCTCACATCGGGGATTGTCACTCTGGTTGCCTTCATCACTGGAGACAGACAAGGCCAACGCAGCACGCTGATTTTCGCCGTCAGCATCCCTGGTACATCTGTTCATGGTGGAAATGCTGACGCCACACGCAACAGCAGCATGGCGAATGGAATACTTGGGACCAATTCGATGCCCAGCCATTGTTCTCCTCGTCTTCGCAACAAATTGTAAAACAGACACCACCATGTACCATGGCCCGTTCGCGTTTTGTTATAATTATGTGGCATGTCGAGAGAACAAGTTGCCACGAACGAAAAGACACTCGAGAAAAAGCAAAATAGGGCCACAGAGCAGTCAGCAACAAAATGATTCCTCCGGCCACGAGGCAAGGAGCTCGACGAAGCTCGAAGGACACTCTGAACAAGATGGCGAAATGCCACGAGTCACACCTGGTTTTTCGAATTTCGCGCGCAGATTTTCGTGACGCAACTCGCATGACATTTTCTCAAAAGTGTCCTTGAGTACGTTCTCAAGGTTTTCAGAGTCTATTATAAAAAAACGCACTGTAGTTCTAGATCCTCACACTTCACCGCCATATTTTTGCTGTCGTACATATTATTGTACATGCAGGCTACAAAATAATAATAATCGATGTACACACATTTCAGGTAGACAATCTACGGGATTGAACACGTGACATGACGATTGTATCTCGCATGTTGCAACGTTGGTGAGTCATGCTTTGCTCCGGTTTTTTGCACACGTGTCACGTGTGGCCAGGCCAGGAAGCTTGAGCTTCGATTCGTTCAAAGAGGCAAGCTTTCCGTCCAGTTTTTAATTAAGACGATGGCCCATAGTCAGTCGTTGTGCTTTTCTTTGAAAAGTTTGATCTGCATTGCAGCCACCGTCCGTCCAGTACATTCCGTAGTTCTAAACTAGTTACTTGTCAAATAGATTTGTGAAACTAACTTGCTCTATCACGTCCTGCGGTTCCGACGTCGACTGCTTCGAATTTCTGTCTCACTACTCCTTCTGATCTGGTCGACTTTTATTCATTTGTTGTTGTGCTACTCCGAGAAGTTCCTACTGCGATGGCGAATTGCTGTTTCTCCCAGTGCCAGGGCCCATTTCAGGCATGGCTCCGTCCCGGCTATTGGATTCCGGGCGTCCGCAACCTGCACTCGTGCAGGCAAACGTACGTGAGTCCCGACTGTGGAGTGTTATGTTTTGCTGTTTTCAGATTATGGATTTTTTGAGACACTGGACTGCGTAGATCTACTGGTTGCATGGCATGGCATGCTGCGAGTTCTGCAGTGTCGTGTTTTGCGAGCAATACCCATCATCTGAGCCTGTAGTAGGCTGTAGTCCACTGCCTGCTATGCTTACACGCACGGCTATGGGGTCATGTCTTCTAAATCTAAACTGGTCTAAGTAGACCTACGTGTGTGGTCAAGAGTAGATCTACTACGTAAGACCATATTGGCACTACAGGTACATGTAGCTGCTGTTGAGTCACAAAAGGAGTCACCATCCCAGACACAAAGGAACAACTTGGGACAGGTACTAGTAGTGGGAAGACATTTATCATAGACGGAGAGAAAGAGGAACTAAACGACTACATTATGAAAGAGAGATATTTTGAAGAGAGTTGAGAGAGAGAGAGAGATCTGAAGAGAGTTGACGCAATATATAGGGCCTGGGTAGCTATGGCAAACATGCGTGCGCAAGTAGCTACCCAGGCCAACGGAACAAAAGGTGAGAATGACGTAGGTGAGAATGACGTAGCACGGGCGGAGATACCTAACGCTACTAAGCATAGTAATCAGCCTATAGCTGATGTATCAACATCACAGCAAGAGTACATACAGTCGTCCCTCTCTAATCCGGCGCCTTTTGCAACGGCATTTTCTGCTGGATAGACAATGGTGCTGGATTATCAAATCCTGCCCTCCAACCCGGCCCACATGTTATCATACATGTTTGTGTCGTACGTCAAAACGTAGGGATTTTCTGTGTCAAACCAAGTACTTTGTAGAATGCATGTCCATAACATACACTTGGGAATATCTTATGCACTAGCATAGGATATTCCCAAGTGTATGTTACATGTGTTGTGTATGTTACAATGGTCCCTGACAGTATGCGATGTACAACGGCTGGATTAGAAAATCGAATTATGTACAGTTTGAGTGATTTGTTGCAGAAAATCGCTGCTGGAGGCGGAATTCAAGTGCCGGATTAAAGTGTAGAAAATGAACTGAAAAAATCCGTTTTGCCAGAAAGTGTGCTGATTTGCAAGGGTGCTGGATAAACAAGTGCCGGATTAGAGAGGAACGACTGTACTACATAACCCTGAGAGTGTGCAACTCGGCACATGGCCTTGGGCCTGGGGTCCTGACGTTTCCAAGACAACTGCAAGAATCAGGTAGGAAGCCTGAGAAGCTGTCCAAACTCTTCAGACAGAGTGCAGACCCTCGTACATGTAGAAAGCAACTTTCCTGCGTTAGTGTGTATTTTCACCAGTCAGCCGCACAACTAACTTTGTACGACTCGCTGCTTCCAAGCGTCCACTTGCGCGACGTCCAAGGATGCCTGTATGTACATGCCCGCTGGAAGCGGCCCGGCCGGTCAGATCATCGCCGCACCAACTTGTTGTCCACCCACATGCGTTTTCACTGCTCAGAAGAAGAACTTTGAGTGGCAAACGTCGCAAGTAACGTGTAGTGCACATCCTCTATATCTCATGTTCTGCTTTTAGGAAAAACACTTTTAAGACTGTAAATGAAGACTTATTTGGCTGTTACCGGTAGGTCACGAGTGCTACAACTATATTTGGTAGTCACCGCCGTTTAGCCAGACCAGATTGTGCTTATATGGGTGATTCCCTGGGACGTATTATTTAGAGTACTAGTATCTCTATTGAATGCAGTAAGCTTGCTTCACCCTCCCTCTCTCTCTCTCTCTCTCTCTCTCTCTCTCTCTCTCTCTCTCTCTCTCTCTCTCTCTCTCTCTCGCTCTCTCTTTCTCTCTCTCTCTCTCTCTCTCTCTCTCTCTCTCTCTCTCTCTCTCTCTCTCTCTCTCGCTCTCTCTCTCGCTCTCTCTCTCTCTCTCTCTCTCTCTCTCTCTCTCTCTCTCTTTCTCTCTCTCTCTCTAACTCTCTCTCTCTCTCTCTCTCTCTCTCTCTCTTTCTCTCTCTCTCTCTCTAACTCTCTCTCTCTCTCTCTCTCTCTCTCTCTCTCTCTCTCTCTCTCTCTCTCTCTCTCTCTCTCTCTCTCTCTCTCTCTCCCTCTCTCTCTCTCTCTCTCTCTCTCTCTCTCTCTCTCTCTCTCTCTCTCTCTCTCTCTCTCTCTCTCTCTCTCTCTCTCCCTTACTCATTTTCTCTGTGGTCTGTACAGGTGGGACCTCGATGGCACCCCATCAGAAAACTTCGATCGGCTGTCACACTTCATCGAGGAAAACGAACGGCAACAGAATTGGATTCTTCGTCAGGTTGGTCCTGCTTCTAGATTGCTGCTCGCGTGAAAAAAACTTCTGCCGACAATTTAGAGGAAAGAAGAGCTGTGATTCACCGTTGTGCTGGATGGCTGGGATAGGCTGGGTGCACTGGGATAGGCTGGGTGCACTGGGATAGGCTGGGTGCACTGGGATAGGCTTATCGGAGGATGTGTTTCACCATCGGGCGCTGTTGTGGTTACTGTAAAGGCAGAAATTATCGGTGGTGTAACATTTTCGGTATTCTCTAAAATCGGCGCTTCGGTGGAGGGAAATTTTCGATAAACCTGTTTTCCAGGTACGTGTACTAGTACAGTACCGACATTTTCGGTGCGTTTTATTTTCGGTAAAAATTTCGGCACCGAAGTTACCGAAAATAAAACACCGCCGAAAATTTCGACTTTTACAGTATGCGATTACATCATCAGTTGAGATGCTTTGGCAAAGTCGTGGCGCAGCCATGCACTAGCTACTCACTACAGTGCGTTTCCAAAATATGGACGCGTGATTTCAAAAAACCGTTGCGCCAGCATCTATACCGCATGAAACCAGTGATCACTTTCTGCACAAAAAATTTCGAAATTGGGCGTTTGTTATCCGATCGCTTAAAAATCTATATGAGTGTAATTGTGGGAAGGACCTAAGCAATATTCCGAAAAAATTCTCAAGAAGCTCCAGCCAAATTTGAAATATTTCCAAAATACCGTGCGTCTATATTTTTGAAATGGACTGTAGCCACTCACACTGTGGTTTCGCAGACTCGCGCTGTGCCAAGAGTACATAACCCCCAAGAGTGTGCAACTCCAGCTATGGGGTCTGCGACGGCAGAACTTCACATCACGTGATGAACCGGTACACATTTGTTTGCACTCTGTGCATGATAGATACTGGGTTGTACGCAACCCAGCTTTGGGCTCAACTCTCTTGTGGTCACTTTGCACTGTTGGCCAGCGTAACCTCTTGGACCATGTCACGTGATGTGAAGTTCTGCCGTCGCAGCACTGTACAGAGGCTGTGCAGGTGTAGTTGCACACTCTTGGGGATTTTGTACTCTTGATAGCGCCCATCGGTGGCTCCGTTCATTCACCACCATAACATCTTTCTCATAATCTCTATTGGATGGGGAACATGCCATGCGGGTAGCTGACACTGTGGGTGTGTGGGGGGTTGTCGGTATGTACACTTTATAGGGCCTTGACTGTGTGGGTGATTTGACCATGGACTCCTGCTGTGCGCGTGTGTGTGTGTGTGCACGCGTGTGCATGCGTGTGTGTGTGTGCACGCGCATTTTTGTGTTTCACACGGTATACGTGTGAATGTGTGTGAATGTGATGGCTGCAGGCCAACTCTGACACACATTTTATACAGATCTTCACCTACACGCCGTCGCAGTGGTTGGACGTGACTGAAATACAACTGCAACCCGGCCCGCAGTCAGGGACCAGAGCTGTTGTAAGTGATGGTGTCATTTTCTGCATACACGTCTACCCTCTGATGGTGGTGGTGGTGAGCAGGAGAGCTCTGTGCTAGAACTTTGCAGCTTAGAGAGCGTGTGTGGGCAGGCGTGTGTTTACCGCCATATTGCCAGGTGTGTCTTTACCACCATATTTATCAACCATAAGTACAGCTGCAGTGGTGTCTTCAACTTCATTCTACGTCTACCCTCGTTAGTAGATAACCCCGGCGGTTTTGAATTGTTTGTCTTGTAACGAGTAGTACTGTACAGGAAAATTTCGTCGGTCAATAATTTCATCCAACTCCAAAGAAAGGGAGTTCGTCAGGTTGAAAATTCCGTCCATGGATCATAAGAGTGCATTGAAAAGCTGGACAAATCGACATTAGTCAGTCATTTAATTTAATCCGAAATACGCTTGGACGAAAAAGACGAAATTAAATTCCAGACGAAGATTTCTGCGTACACAGTATTGAGTATCCGGACGTGAATGTACACATTTCAGGCGTCAGGGGATTTTTTTGATGGTTGTCCAGTAATGAAAGTTTGTCTTATAAGTTGTAGCCGATGTCGTACTAACCAGGGTAGACATGTACACGTTTGTTTAGCCCTGTTCAGCAGCGCGCACCCTGAAAACAGTTTCGCCATAACGTGGCTTTTATTTTATTTGTAACTTGTCGTTCCTTGGTCCTTTTTACTTTTTATTCTATTTTCCGTTATTTTAAATCGCTTTACGCTGGGCCTGATCTACTCACCTTCCATGGCTTTGAGGAGCTGTACATGCGTGTGTGATGTGAGCCGTGATGATGGTAAAAAGTCTGACTGGGAGGTTCCTCGACCAATCATCTCCTTTCTTAAAATGCTGTTGCTGCTTGGAAGCGTGTTTTTATTGACCGCATAAAATGATGATGCAAAGAAAGAAAAGCACTCAAGCATTGCACCTGGGAGGCAAAAATGAACTCCATCCCTAGCATAGGCTCAATGAGGTCGTGTATTTGTACAAATTTCAAAAGGATCCAAGTAAAACTCCAACAAAGTTGCTGTTGCTGCTGGTGGTAGTGGTGGCGGTAGTGCTGCTGCTGCAGCTGCTGTTGTTATTGTGTTATTTCTGGTGCAGCTGTTGATGGGCTAGGTCTCTGTCTGTTTATCCACCAATCTGAAGGCTTACCTGCCATATCTGTGCGTGTGTGTGTGTGTGTGTGTGTGTGTGTGTGTGTGTGTGTGTGTGTGTGTGTGTGTGTGTGTGTGTGTGTGTGTGTGTGTGAAAAAGGAAAAGACTAAAAATTAGGGATTCACTGGCCAGAAAAGCCACTTCATAGCTGTGTGGTGTAGACCAGGCTGAATAGTGGCGGTCAATTCTTCAGCCTTGCAACCTGTTGAATGGTGCAATCCCAGCATAAGCTGCTATCGCTTCTGCCTCCGGCGAAGGGCGTCCAATGGTCCTATGGTGTGTGTGTGTGTATGTGTGTGTGTGTGCGCGTGTGTGTGTGTGCGCGTGTGTGTGTGTGTGCATGTCCGTGTGTGTGTGTGTGTGTACCTGTCCGTGTGTGCACATGTTTCCTCTTCTTGCAGTGCAAATCATTTTCGTCTGGTTTTCTACCGGTGTGTGTACCTGGTGCCCCTCTCTGGAATGCGGTAAGCACTGCTGTGAATTTTGACAGGAACCGGGGGGGGGGGGGGGGGTCGGGTGGAGATGTGAACAGGTGAGTTCATAGCAGTGCACAGTCAAGATCGATGAAACCTGGCCGAAAATGTATGACATTGCGCCAGTGGCTTCGTGCACCTCACAGTGAAAGGATAAGATCTAGGCGTAGGCAAGCCATGCTGGTGGTTTCTGTGACGCATGCGTCTCAGTTCTGTAGCCATTGTCGTACCAGAGTCGAAAGCAACGGAACCAATACCTTGAGAACTCAAACCACACTTCAGGATAATATTCATGTGCAATATCGTAGCTCCTTTAGGAGTTACTTAGCACGAGTGTCAAACCATCCACGTTTCACTTTCTCCGCCCTCCCCCCCCCCCCCTTCCAAAGTACATTGTACTCCTGATGGAGAGCCACCTCCGTACGGAGAATTAATTTTTAATTTTATTTCACCGTCCAATGGCAGAAGCCAATGCAAAGGAGGTGGCGTTAGCCAGCCATGGCAAGGGAAGTAAAGCAGTTCGGCCACGGCGCACAGCACGAGCACCTCGAGACTGGTCCCGCACTGACCTCTCGTTCGACCTCCACTCATGATTTATGTTTGCCTGTAACACCAAGCTGCTGCGTAGCAGTCGGTATTAATTTTTGTCTCTACTCGCCACCGGCCAGCCACTGTACAACTTTCAAGCTTGAACTCCCTCGTGTAGGACTTCTGCCGGGTCTTCGATGGACTCACAATGTGGTAAAAAACGGACGTCGGTTTGGAGGAGCAAAATCCTCTGCACGCTTCATCGACGCGAAATGCTGGCTCATTTATGTATTGTGTGAAGTAACGCCGATATGCAGTGTTGCGTCATGGAGTAACTTCCGTATCACTTGCCTGAAGGAGCGGCGGTTGCCATATTCAATCGTTTCGATTCCAAGTTCACCACCGCTCCTACTTCCACTTCTATTTTTGTGTTTTCTGCGGCTTATGGATGTTACACGTCCCTTATTTCTCCCTTTTATGGCCCTTATCTGCCTGTGCAGTTCCTTATAATGTCCTTTTCTGTTACGTCTGCGTACGTTTATGTCCAAATATGAGTTAATAATAGCTATATCTGTGTTTGATCGGACGGACTCAGCACAGTTCTCTTTTTAAGACAGAATAATAGTTTTTTTGTTTTTGCTTATGTGTTGTTTTTGCGTAGATATTCTGTTTCGTGCCATTCTCTGATATGAACTTGGGAGAGAAACGTTTGAATATGCTGAACAGTGCCGCGTCATCCAAGGAGCCCGTGTGAGGTCTCGTGGTCCTCTTGCGGTCGGAATGCGTCACGAGGCGTTTGTGGTGGTGGTGTGTATAACGCTTCCCAGCATCCGACGTAGCGGGGCACACGAAGCTTCCGTGTCCGTGCGTTTTGTCGTTGGTGGCGGCTGTCTGTTCCACCTGTACGGTGTCTTGTACCCCCCCCCCCCCTTCCCTCCGACACAATCATGCATGTCTACCTACTCTCCCGCATGCCTCTATATTGTTTGTTTACTCGTCACATAGACGTATACCAGTCTTGCAGTTGATATCGGTTGCCTCGCGCCCCAACCCGTCACATATACTAGCTTATGAGACGTACACCAGTCTTGCAATTGATATCGGTTGCCTCGCACCCCAACCCGTCACATATACTAGCATAATTAATATTAATTATGTTGATGTTTCTAGCTCATATTGCATCCCCCCATTTACCTTGCAAAAGCGTCAGCGATGACCCAGAATGAATATCTGCCGAACAATTAACTTCCCGTGCCAGCGACCATATGCACCGCCGTTGGTGGTCGTAGTCGTTGTGTCTCCGCATCTGCTCTATTCTCTTTATGTCCCCATCCTGCCGTGTGTTTACCCGGCGAGCTTCATTTTGCTCTGGACGCGCTATCTCTGGGCACCGTCGCTGCAATACCGGATCTCGATGAACGGATCAATCTGCACCGGCTACAACCAATCATACCTAACGACACAGAACTCTTGTCTGCTTTCTCTATCTTGTCATGTTCACGGAAAACCATACCCTGTCTGCTTTTTCACGTTCAAGACTGCATCGGATGAGGTCACATGATATTATCAATAACGCATACGCATGATTTTTGCATATCTGTCCATAATTCTGGGGGTTTCCCCGTCGCTATCTGTCTATAGTTCAGGGGGATTCCCCATCGCTTAGGTGTATCTGCCGGTTCAGATCTCGTTCACTTTTTGCTGTTTACAGTACTGAATTGCAAAAGGTGGATTTTGTGTTATTTATATTGGATGCGTCTGAGTGAGGTGTGCTGGTGTTTGGACATGCCCGGCCTTGGGACTGGTAGAGGCGACGGTTTCAAATAGGACATAGGTTGCAAACCGGAACGGTCTCAATATTCACTTTCTCTCTTGGTATTTTGATTAGAAAACGTATGTCACAGTGAGACTACGATGTGTTTTACTCAGCGCCAACATTCCATGGCCCTGCGATGACCAGAAGCGCCATACCAAGCATTTGAGTTTTTGACGTGTTGCTTCCCACTGCGACTTGAGTTTTACGACTTTCGAAAAATCAACTTCTTGTCTCAGGTAAAGAGCGGCTTGCCTCTCGCCAATAAAGCACCGCATACTGATCAAAACTAATGGAAGCACACACAAGGCTTATTGTTACTCTGTACTGGCTGTCGTGGAGCGATAGCAATTACCTAATTTCAGACCCAGAGTCAATTTGACGTGCACTCTAAAACATGTCCGGTTTCGAGCCACCTCTGATTTGAAGCGAAAAATTGGGCAACTTGGAGGCAATGGGTCAACACAAAGGAGTGGCTCAGTTCGATTGACTCTGGCCTCAGAGCAAACTTCAACATGCCAGTTTCCTTCCACAAACATATTTCAAGTGAACAATCAACGCTGGTGATCGGTTTGGGTCTATACAAATTTGGCTGTCAAGCCGTTCCGGTATCGAACCGTCGCCTCTACACGTCATCCACACAACTGCTACACACTAGCAGTGCATGGATAAACCCCACCCCGCCCCCGAGAGTGCTCAGCTGCAGTCTGCGGGGTCTGCAGCGGCAGAGCAATGAACAACACAATGTGTATGTAGCCTCCCAGCCTAGGCCGTTCTTATTTTTTATGTATTACAGTATATGTTCAGTTGAGACACCGTGTATAGTAATAGGTTTTTCTTTTGACCACACGGGGGACAACCTGTACTACTATTTGACGGACCTATTGAAGATGGCAACAAAGAATTACACCATGTGTACCTTATGCTGTGCTTGGTAAATTTCTAGCCCGGTCGTTCTTCGGCGTCCGACATCACTGTAGTGTAGTTGTGATTGTTTGCTCACAGCCACATCCATTGGATCCCTTTCTTAGAAATCAATCTAGTTTGCTCGTCATGCCGTTGCTATGGGGATGATCAAAGCTGTCGATGAAAAAGTCACTCAAGATCAAACGCGCGTGTGTGTGTGTGTGCGTGCATGTGTGTGTGTGTGTGTGTGTGTGTGCGTGTTCGTGTGTGTGTGTGCGCGTGCTCTATGGTACTCATGTGTTTTGTATGTCTGTCCTCTGTCTTCCAGCTGTTGTGCTTCGTGCCCTTCTCCGACATGGGGCTGGCACGCAAGCGTCTCAATCGCATCTGCACCGAGAACGGCGGACGTCTATCCAAACTATGAAACTCTGAAACTCTGAGTCACAACGGGATTTGCCCAAGGTTTTCATTGTGTGCCTTGGCTTTGTGTACGCCGCTCTGCCTGAATTAGGTACTGAGCACTTTCGCAGAGCCTAAGCCTATTGCCTCTATCCAAACTACGAGGCACGTTGCATTGGTCAGTGCTGCTTTGGAGTTGGGCTTGTGGCTGATTGTGTGCGTGTAGGGACGACGTCACCTCAACTGGGGCGACTGTTTTTTAAAAACGATTTTGTGGTGACAGGATTTCTCGTGAAACGGCTGGATTAAAGATATTTTGCGTATTTGACTGACTACAGTATGTTTAAAACACGTTTGCCCATTCGCTGGCCGCCTTTCCCACCGTAAGATGTTTCAGGATCTGACTTGCTTCAACCAGAACTGTATTTGCATGATTTTTGCGTGTAGTGAAATTGGTTGACCTGCTCGCGGCTGCTTGTTCCTTTCTGTACTTGTCGATACCTTGCTTTCCTTTGATTTGGCTGCCCATCCCATTCTCTCAATTCTCCCATTCTCGCGTAGTTCAGCCGGGTTGTGAATGACACAAGTGCTTTTCGTATACAGTCGGACCTCGCTTATCCGGTCCTCTTTTATCCGGACCCCTCGCCATCCGGAAGAAAATAGCTGGTTACAAATTTACAGCATGGTGCATCCAGCATAACCAGTGTCCGGTTATCCGGTTCCCTCGCCTATCCGGATATTTTTGTGGAAAACGGATGTGTGCGGTTAAACGAGGTCTGACTGTAGTACTTGCACTCGGACTACATGATTGCATCCTGTAACTTACCCGCTGAGGCTGACGGGGGCTCCTACGGGTGCGGGAACAACCAACCGAACCGGCGTACATGGCGAGCATTGGATTTTAATGATCCACGTTGTTGCTATCTATAATGCACTGATTTCCAGAGGTAGTAGTAGTAGTAGTAGTAGCAAGAGTACATAAACACAGTTTATCTCTTGGTAGTAGTAGTAGGGAGGTTTAGTTCCCACGTAACGGAAACGCGTACGTGGGTGATCCACGTAAAGTGGATGAAGGGCACCCACGTTGCAATGTTGTGTTTAGTCACACGGAACAAACAAAAGCATGAAGCTAAAGGCCAAAACCTGGTCAAAAACGAAGCTAGCCCGGCCTAAGAAGTTCATCCAATATTTTGATTTCGTGCTTCGGAAACTTCTTCAGCTGAGCACCCTCACAGCTCGCACAATGCGCTCCATTCTGATTTTCACCCACGTTCTGGCGGAACGTGGGTGAGCCTCCATACACGGTATGTCGTGAATCAGAAAACGTCTGTACGTGGGTCACTGAGTATCACGTGGTACACACACGTAAAGTACCCACGGATTACGTGGGACTAAACCTCCCTAATGTTGCAAAAGAAGGATCCACGAGCGGGATTCGAACCCAGCACCCCTGTCTTTCCGGGACAGTGCCCTACCGATTAGGTTACCGGGGATCACACACACTCATGGGTCCTTCTTGCTACACTGCTCCCCCGCCCCAACAGGCTGTGTCCTCACGCCGTACCTAGCTCGCGGGGGGTACGATGGGTCGTGGGTTCGAGCCATTGCCAGGCGCCAATGTTGCAAAAGAAGGATCCACGAGCGGGATTCGAACCCAGCACCCCTGTCTTTCCGGGACAGTGCCCTACCGATTAGGTTACCGGGGATCACACACACTCATGGGTCCTTCTTGCTACACTAATATCAAGAGGCCATAACCCCCAGAGTGTGCAACGCCACACAAATCTCTGACTCTGTCACGACTTGTTTTCAACATTACGTCATCTTTATGATGCAATGTGGTGATTCGTGATGTGCAAATACTTGCCGTGCTGGCTTGGCCGCAGACTAGACAAATCCAAGTCATGTAGCTACATGAAAATGACGTAATGTTGAAAACGAGTCGTGACAAGACCCTATCGCGCGTTGCACACTCTGGGGGTTATGGACTCTTGGTAGTACAGTCAAATCTGTTGTAAGCGACCGCCCCTTGGTGCAAGAAAAAGCGGTCGCTTACGGCAGATGGTCTCTTACGACAGATGTATGGTAAATCCGGCATACCAGGTATATGCTTCCATGTACTCAAATCGACGAGAATAATGTGATTTTTAATAATTATCATTTTATTGGATATTCAACGACGACCATACCCGTATAGTACGCGGATGCGACACGGCAGTAGATCGACACTGCCTGGACTTGAGAGCTACAGCACAGCCTGAGTACAGGCCAGGCGCCAGTCGATCGCACTTGCAAGACAGCGCATTTTCACACTTTGCAGTTGACAGCGCACTGGCAAGTACATTTTCGCACCTTACTGAACCTGGGTCGCGGTCGCTTACAGCAGATTTGAATGCAGCCACCGTGCATGAAATCGCGGTCGCTGGTCGCGCACAGCAGATGGTCGCTCTGGACAGATCAGTTTGTATGTGAAACCGTCGGTGCACGGAAAATCGGTCGCTAACGGTAGATGGTCGCCTACAGCAGAGGTCGCTAACGGCAGATTTGACTGTAGTGGTAGTATTCTTTCATTTTCCATCGGAAGCCTCAACAGTGATGAACACAACTCTTAGAGGGACGAGAACAAAGTAGAAGGGGGGGGGGGGGGAGGGGGTAAAAAAATGGAAGTCAAGATATGCTTGGGTAATGCTTGAGCTGAGGTGAACCTGTATTTTTTTACAGAAAACACCGCCAATGCAGTTTTTGCCAAGGGCATACGTTTTCATACAAAGGACAAGTAGCAGCAGCAGCGGCGGCGCCTGCAGCAGTAGCAGTGTAGTTGGCTTCGTTGCTTTTTCTAGAAAAGGTCTGAACAGGCGAAGCGTAATTAGAGGGACTATACTTGGACATGGAACAGCAAAACAATTTTTGATGCTCAGTGGAAGGTCTTGTTGTTGCCTGGGGACTGGGGGTCTACTGTAAAAAAAAATGACATTAGGACATTGTCCTAATTACCGGTACATGTATGTACAGTAAAAAAAACCTGTCAAGGCGACCACTCGGATAAGGCGACCACCTGTCCAAGAAGACCACTGAAACCAGGATCAAGGGATGCTACGTATTTCCAGTCAAATGACCCTGAAATAAGGAGACCACCTGGTAACAGGGACCACATTTTTGAAGGTCTCTTTAGTGGTCGTCTTAGACACGTTTTACCAAGAGTCCATAACCCTGGGTTATAGACTCTTGGTTATACGGTACTGACACAACCAATGACATGTACATTGTATACACACACTTGAGAGGGATGAAAAGCGTTTCTTCTGTAACTCTGAGTTTCACGGTTTTAACCGATCATCAGACAGCAGCGTTGCAGGGTTAATTTTGACTGCACGAGCCCGATCTTTGAACAGCTCCGCCTCACCACCCTGGAGGACATGTTTAACATTAAGCTCCTCATCTTTGTCCGTCGTTGTCTGTTCTCCCGAGCTAGCTCCCTCTTCACCAGCTTCTTCGTGAGAGTTACTGGTGACCGCACTCGGGGAGCAGCACATCACCTCGTTCGAGTACCATTTTGGCCCGGTCCTGCGGGTCGAGCGACCATGCAGTTCATCGGCGCAGTCCTGTGGAACCAGCTCCCGCCTGTTCT